GTAAAGCTCTCGGTTTGCCGAAAGTTCGCCAGAAGTAAATAAAGTTGTTGATATTTCTCTTCGGCCCTATTGGCCATTATTACAAGGTAATTTAATACTCTTTTTTTAATTTTAAATCTTTTTATATCTTCGATCTGGAAGCCGTGACTATGTCCGGCTAAAAATTTATATCTATGTCGGATAACTAACTTCTCTTTTATATAGACCATGAACGGATCTAAGCTTTATTTAAATATAGAAGAATTTTAGTATGGCTTCTCGACTTGGTTCTGAGATTGAGGTACAGTTAAATGTAGTACTACTTTTATTGGCTTTGTCTTTATGACTCCGTCTGATGAGCCGTGGTTTTTAGCCCGAAATTGAGTTTGATAAGTAGGGCGCCTCATACCCGGTTAGAACTATCAGATACATGGGCTTAATAAAAGTATGTATTAGCTTCTTGACAGGCCCTTTGCTTGGGTAAAATAATTAAACCATGCAATCTGAGAAACTATGTTAAAATTCTTGTGTATTTCGATTCTTATGTAGTTGGACTACCTCTAAGGATATTAACTTGCTTGATCTATGACTGGGCGGACCACCGCCAGGTCAGTGATCCTGTATCGTTAGTGATCCTGTAGCGTTGGTATAATAGATTTTTGGGTCATTTGATTTGTCAAGGGAAAATGACTCTTATTCAGCGATCTATTGAATTTGCATCTAAATTCCCTGATATTATTATAGATAGGACGCAATTGCAGCGGTTTCTGGGAAATTTAAATTACATTTCCCCCTTCTACAAAAATTGTCATGACCTTCATTTGCTGCCTTAGCATTAATTAATGTTGCTCTGGCATCAGAGGGCATATAATTTAAGGCACAATTAGCCCCTTTCGATTTCGAAATTCATTATAAAAAAGGAAGTGATAATTTCCTCCCAGACTTCTTATCTAGAGAATATCTTTCGTCTTTAGTCCTTCTTCTAGATCTTCATTTCTTATAATGAGATCTATGAGATTCTGATTTAGAAGTTTCTCGGTTGGTGCTTTTTGAAGCATTCGGTAAACCGAATTGAGTACAAAAATCTCTTAATTGAGACTTTTCTCTAAGCTTATCCATCTTAAGCTGTCTTGAGAATTTTAACTCATTGCACAAATTTATGCCTTCTTGCGTACAAGCCCCAATAAGCTTTCCATAAGTAAAATCACTATAGGGAATAATTCCTTGAGAATTTCTAAGAGTCTTTTTTACTCTTTCTGCAAATAAAGAAGGTAAGCCATCAACAAATTTGGCTTTCCAGAATTCTAAACCATTTTCGGGAAGTTCCATGACCCGACTTAAATAAGTGTCTTTATACCATCTAAACTCACCTAAATGTCTACATCTAAGACCATTTAGAAGAGATCTAATGGTTTCATATTGATTGGTAAATCTACCACTAAAATGTTCAAGAATAGTCCAAATAAGTGTATACACAGCGTCTTCTCTATTTTGAACAGGGGCAAAGCCTTAATTGTCATGACCTTCATTTGCTGCCTTACCATTAATTACTGCTGCTCTGGCATCAGAGGGCATATAATTATCCCACCATCCTCTTAGTTGACTGGTAAATCCTGCAATAATCATCTTGCAGATGGTCCTGTCAGTGTTATTGGCACTTTTGCAAATAGTAGCATACATAAGCATCCTATGAACCATAATCGTCAACTGCCTATCAGTTAGCCCATCGAGATTCCATTCATAAATCTCACTTCCACAATAAGAAGTGTTAGTTTGATTCCAATCTTTTTCCTCTATTAAAACATCTTGAGGAGTAGGCCTGGGATAGTAATATGTTTGCATGCTAGGTTTTCTAGCATAAGCAGTATTACCACTATTCTTCTTTGGATACCCATGAAGTTTATTAACATCCATTTCCATTTCAGTTTCGAAGTCAAAAGTGGCTTCCATCTCATCTGCAAAATCTTCAGCGAGACTTATCGGTTTCGCACTTGCACCAAATTGAGAAAACTTTTTATCAAGAAGATTTTCAAGGTCGTGCAAAGGTCTAAAAATAAAGTCCTGAATCTCAAGAGGCCTTTGAATATGAACATCAGGCTGTTTTGACGAAGAACCCTGTTCCGAAACTTGTTTAGCAAATTTTAGCTTACTATTAATTTGAATAATCAGATTAGACAGGCTATCTAATGTTTTGTCTAGAGAACAAATATGTTCACCAATAACTTTGACATATAGACCCAAATAATTATTTTGAGAAATAAGATGATTAATTTTATTTATACTTACTGCGACGACATCATCATCAATAAATTTATGAAAAGCAGTAAAAGTAATACCAGTATTATTTGGTAAAATAAACTGAGCTTGAGGAGGATAAATGGATTGAATAATATTACTTGATTCATCTTTGTAAGATCGTTCAAGAACGTTGATGAATAAAGGCAAATAAGTGGTTATAAACCAAGACACAAAAAACATAATATGATTATGTGATGCACAAGTTTCATAAAACTCTTGAGAAATATTATTTAAATCTTCTTTACTATAAGTGTCAAAAAACCAAGTTTTAAACCGGTTCCATTTTTCATTTAAAAATTCATTTTGAATATATTTTCTTGCCAGTGAACCTGGACTAAAATCAATTTGATGTTCACTCATCATTAAGTATCATTAAGATTAAAATCCATCTCGGATACAGAAGGAATATCCTTATCAGAAATATCATATGCTTTATCATTCGTTTGAACAATGTTTAACCGAGGATCAATTTTTATTTTTTGTTTTTCTGCAGATATAACTGTTGATAAAGTGTGTAATGAAGCAGCGCGATTTCTAGCTGAACCATAACAAGGTTCTATCGGAGAAATATGTTGAATAGCCAGTATTCTATTAGAAGCAAAAGAATGCCTACTATAAAGAATACTTTTTTCATCAAACTGCATACAGATTTTTCCATCGGAATTTTGACTAATATGAGAATATTCTGAATTAGTGACAGCATCGGTCATTTGCTCAGGAGGTATAACAGAATCTAAAATCCAAGTGGTAGAAAAATTAATTTCTTCCCATTTTATAGGTCTTCAAGAAGTGACCTTAGATCTGGCGAAATTAGTTTCTACTAAAATAGTTTGATCAGATGTATCATATAACTTACATCTAGGATTCAAAGTAGCAAGTAATTTATAATAGATTCTATACGACAAGCAAATTAATTCAGATCCAGGTGCATAGTTATAACCATGCGTTTTAACATTCAAGGTTAAAGCATCTAATATATTAGAATCAGTCAAACATAACTGCAAATTGGGCTGAGCATTAAAATAAACTGGACCATAAGCCACCGTAGATTCTATCGAACCCATCAAGGATTGACGAAAATTTAAATTCCTTGCATCTCGTAGAGCAGCTAAGAAAGTCTCTGGTAACCCTTTAAGAGTTAGAGGTTAAAAAGTAATTTGAACCATGCCAATATGCAAAAATTTATACTGAGATTTATATAAATCAATATCACGCTTATTTAATAAACGAATAGTTTGTTCGGACGAGTTTAATGCCAAGGATTGTTCAGTTGTTTTGATCAACTGTTTATTAGAAATCTTATCAAACCAACCATAATCATAAATGGTTTTTATATTAACTTTCGGAATAGTCCATTTGTTTAACAAATCAAAGTTTTGAGGTATATCTACCTCTTCTAGTCGAGTGCTTTTAATATCTTCTTGATCCATAAAAGAGAGAATATATCTATGCCGAAATTCTTCACATCAATTATATATATACCATGAACTTTCCTAGGCTCTGATATCAACGATACAGGATCACTGACCTGGCGGTGGTCCGCCCAGTCATAGATCAAGCAAGTTAATATTCTTAGAGGTAGTCCAACTATATAAGACGAAATACACAAGAATTTTGACATAGTTTCTCAAACTGCATGGTTTAATTATTTTACCCAAGAAAAGGGCCTGTCAAGAAGCTAATACATGTTTTTATTAAGCCCATGTATCTGATAGTTCTAACCGGGTATGAGGCGCCCTACTTATCAAACTCAATTTCGGGCTAAAAACCACGGCTCATCAGACGGAGTCATAAAGATAAAGCCAATAAAAGTAGTACTAGATCTGACTGTACCTCAATCTCAGAACCAAGTCGAGAAGCCATACTAAAATTCTTCTATATTTAAATAAATCTTAGATCCGTTCATGGTCTATATAAAAGAGAAGTTAGTTATCCGACATAGATATAAATTCTTAGCCGGACATAGTCACGGCTTCCAGATCGAAGATATATTATTATTATTATTATTATTATTATTATTATTATAATCCTAATGATAGTTGATGATGACTGAACACCAAATTGATTTTAGTCCAGGTTCACTGGCAAAGAAAATATATTCAAAACGCATTTTCAGATAAAAAATGGGACAGGTTTAAAACTTGGTTTTTCGACACTTATAGTGAAGAAGATTTAAATAATATTTCTCAAGAGTTTTATGAAACTTGTGCTCTGCATAATCATATTATGTTTTTTGTACCCTGGTTTATAACCACTTACTTACCTTTATTCATCAATGTTCTTGAACGATCGTATAAAGATGAAACAGGTAATATTATTAAATCTATTTATCCTCCTCAAGCTTCGTTCATTTTACCGAATAATACAGGTATAACCTTTACTGCATTTCAAAACTTTATTGAAAATGAGGTTTCTGCAGTAAGTATCAATGAGATTAATCGAATTATTTCTCAAAATAATTATTTGGGTCTTTATGTTAAAGTCATTGGCGAACATATTTGTTCTCTTGATAATAAGTTAGATAAACTTATTACTTTGATAACTCAAATTGATGATAAATTGAAAGATGAGAAGCCAGTTGCTGATATAGCATCTACGTCAAAATAGCCTAACGTTCCTATTCAGAGGCCTCCTGCGATACAGGATTTCATTCTTAGACCTCTTCATGATCTTGAAAGTCTTCTTGATAGGAAATTTCAGAATTCGGTGCAAGTGCAAAACCTATGAGTATTGCTGAAGATTTTGCAGATGAAATGGAAACCACTTTCGATTTTAAAGGACAAGTGGAGATGGAAGTTAATAAACTTCGTGGGTATCCTAAAAAGAATAGTGGTTATGCTAGAAAACCTAGTATGCAAACCTACTACTACCATAGGCCCACACCGCAAGATGTTCTTATAGAAGAAAGAGATTGGAATCAAACTAACACTTCTTACAGTGGAAGTGAGATATATGAATGGAATCTAGACGGGTTAACAGATAGGCAGTTAACAATCTTGGTTCATAGAATGCTCATGTATGCTACTAACTGCAAAAGTGTTAATAACACTGATAGGACTATTTGCAAGATGATCATTGCAGGTTTTACTGGTCAATTAAGAGGCTGGTGGGACAACTATATGACTATGGAGGCAAAAGCAGCAGTTATAAATGCTAAAGTTGCCGCTGAAGGAGTTGATAACCTAGGCTTTGCTTTAGTCAAAAATAGAGAAGACGCGGTGTATACCTTAGTCTTAACCATCCTAGAACATTTTAGTGGTAGATTTACCAATCAGTATGAAACCGTCAAATCTCTACTTAATGGCTTGAGATGTAGACATTAAGGTGAGTTTAGATGGTATAAAGATACTTATTTAAGTCGGGTAATGGAACTTCCCGAAAATGGATTAGAATTTTGGAAGGCCAAATTCATATATGGCTTACCACCTTTATTTGCTGAAAGAGTTAAGAAAACTCTGAGAGACCCCTAAGGGATTATTCCTTATAACCATTATACTTATGGAAAGCTTATTGGAGCTTCTACTCAAGAAGGCATAAATGTGTGCAATGAGTTAAAACTCTCTAGACAGCTTAAAATGGACAAGCTGAGAGAAAAATCTCAATTGGGAGATTTTGTACATAGTTTGGTTTACCAGATGCTTCTAAAGGTACCAAGTATGAGACTTCTAAGTCTGAACACCATAGATCTCATCGAAGAAGAAGAAGATCTAGGAGAAGAACTAGAGAAGAAAGAGAAGAGCGTAAGGCTCATCGTAAATCTCATAGATTTACTAAGAATAGGTCAAAAAGAGATCTTGACAGAATCAAATGCTACAAGTGTGGAAAATTTGGACATATTGCTCCAAATTGTAAACTAGAAAAGTTTAAAGCTTTGGAACTGGATGAAGATATTCAAGAAAAGGTTTATAGTTTCCTTTATACTTCTGGTTCTGAATTAGACTACGAAGAGTCTAAAGCAAGCTATGCAACGGAAGATGATCAACCCGAGTCTTCTAACAAAGAACAACAGGACTTAGATTCTTGTAAATGTCGTAATGATATCTGCAATTATGAACATGGCGAGTTTTATAAACTACAATCGCAGTTCGAAGATATGAACTTATTCACCATAACTGTAGACAATGTTATAAAACTTCTTAAGGAAGTTACTGATAACACTCTTCGTGAAAAGATCATTCAGTTAGCAGCTAGTAAAACTAGCTCTTCAGCACACAGCATTCCTGATGATAAAAAGGTTAAAGATGATTTTGTTTATTCTGCTCCCTATTCTTTGTCTGAAGTTCATAATAGACTTTCATCTAAACAAACTATGGTAGTTCGTGATTCTTCTTTTGATGACTTCAAAGGAGAAATTGAACATTTAAAAGAAGAAATTAAATTTCTTAAACAAAATCATATTATATGTGATCACCGTCTTACTCAAATTGAGTCTGCTAATAGCAAAGGAAAAACTAAGGTTGATGATGATCTAGTTGAAGAAAATACTCTTGCTAAACCAATAGATATTGACCCTAAACAAAATATCTTTTTAGGAATGATGCAAGTTGTTACAGCTCATAAATGGTATGTTAAATGTACTATTTTAATTGATAATTATTTTTCTATATCTAATATTGCCATGATTGATAGTGGAGCTGATGTAAGTTGCATTCAGGAAGGACTAGTGCCTACTAAATATTTTGAGAAAACTACTCATATGGTAAAATCCGCATCTGGACATGCTTTAGATATAAAGTATAAATTATCTAACACTCGTATTTGCCAAAATAAAGTTTGTATTCCTCACTTCTTTTTCTTGGTAAAAAATCAGTTATATCCTCCTATCATTTTGGGAACTCCATTTATAAATGCTATTTATCCCTTTACCAATATAAATGCTAAAGTATTTTCAGCCACTTAAAAAGATTGTAATATTAGTTATACTTTTATCACTGAACCTGTTTCTCGTGATATTAATGCTTTGATTGAATTGAAACAAAAGCATATTAATTATTTGCAGCTTGAGATTTTTAGTATGAATATATTTTATACTTTGAAAGCTACTAAAGTACAGGAGAAGATTAAAATAATCTCTGAACAAATAGCCACTGATATTTGTGCCGATCATCCTAGTGCTTTTTGGAATCGAAAAAAGCACATTGTGACTCTTCCATATGAAGATGATTTCTCTGAGGAAAATATTCCTACGAAATCTCATCCTTGCCAAATGAATTCCGAATTAGTTGAATTCTGCAAAAAGGAGATTGATAATCTATTACAAAAGGGTTTGATAAAACCTTCCAAGTCACCTTGGTCTTGTACTGCCTTTTATGTTAATAATGCAGCAGAGAAAGAACGTGGTGTCCCCAGGTTAGTTATAAATTACAAACCTTTAAACAAATATTTAAAATGGATTAGATATCCTATTCCAAATAAAAGAGATTTACTATCAAGGTTATATGACGTCAATATATTTTCAAAATTTGATTTAAAATCAGGATATTGGCAGATTCAAATCTTTAAAGAACATTCTTATAAAACGGCTTTTAATGTCCCGTTCGGACAATACGAATGGAATGTAATGCCATTTGGTTGGAAAAACGCCCCTTCTGAATTTCAAAAAATTATGAATGATATTTTTAATCCTTTTTTGGATTTCATTATAGTCTATATTGATGATATTTTGGTTTATTCAAAGACTCTTGAAATGCATATTAAACATCTGGATATTTTCAAGAAAATAGTCATTCAAAATGGTTTGGTAATATCTAAACCTAAGATGAGTCTTTTTCAAACAGAAGTCAGATTCCTGGGTCATCTAATTTGTCAGGGAAAGATTACTCCCATTCAGCGATCCATTGAATTCGCTTCAAAGTTCCCTGATATAATTACTGATAGAACGCAATTACAGTGGTTTTTGGGAAATTTAAATTATATTTCTCCCTTTTATAAAAACTTGTCTCGTGACCTAGCCCCATTATACGACAGGCTGAAAAAGGAGCATAAAAAGCCGTGGACTGATAGTCTCACAGACCTTGTTAAAACAATTAAAGAAAGAGTTAAGTCTTTACCATGCTTAACCCTTGCCAATCCCGCTTGGCCTAAAATAATAGAGACAGATGCGTCCAACATGGGTTATGGTGGAATTCTAAAACAAATTAACCCTCATGATAAGCACGAATACCTTATTCGGTTTCATTCAGGAAAATGGAGCGATGCTCAATGAAAGTATGCAATGGTAGCTCATGAAATGTTGACTATTGTTAAATGTGTTTCGAAATTTCAAGATGATCTATACAACCAAAATTTTTTGATGAAAACAGACGCTCAATCAGTCAAGTATATGTTTGACAAAGACTTTAAACATGATGCGTCAAAATTAATGTTTGCAAGGTGGCAAGCACAATTGGCACTTTTTGATTTTGAGATTCTATATAAGAAAGGAAGTGATAACTCCCTCCCAGACTTCTTATCAAGAGAATACATTCAAAATGAGTGAATATAGTAGTTTTTCAGAAAGAGATAATGATATTCCCATCTCTATATTTTTTACTGAAAAAAGATTGATTACTATTTTAAAGGTTCTTCCTTTTAATCAAGATATAAAGGAACTTATTTGCTGGAAAATTATAGATGGAATGTTGATAGACCTATTCCAATCAAGAGAAGAATCAAACACTTATTATGACGCGAATTGGGTTTTAAAACTCATTGTTTCATTTGCAGAATGGAACACCCTTGGATGACTAAGGGTAGAGGCAGAGGCAAAGGAAGATCATCCTCAGTCTCATCAAGATCGTCATACGGATCTTCTTCATCATCCATCACTCCTATTATGCAGAGAGGAGGAATGAGTTTAGTTAAACTAAATTCAAAAACACAAGAGAAAACCTCTTCGTCAATACATCTGGAAGATATTCCAGAAAGCGACCCGTTATATGCTAAATTACAAGAATATATAAACCAAAAGCAAAGTAATACTTTTGCTTCGATAGCCAAAGAAGATACTATTGATGATATGAAAACCTATGAAAAGGTAGAGAAAAGAGAAATGATATTTCTCTTAGAAAATTCTGATATACAGAGTAGAGAAGAACCTTGGAAGATATTCAAGAGGTACTTACTTAATGGGCTATACTTCCCGGGTGAGTCATACAAAACTCGGAAGTACTATGAAACCTTGCTGATAAGCACAGGTGTTGAATTCCAACACTTTGCAGGATACAATACAGGTGAGAATGTTTATAACTTCTCTAAAATGATTGTCAAGCAAATTATTCACATCGAAGATTGGGGTATTTCCTCAATGACTGAAAGACAGATCAGTCTTAACAATGTTAAAATGAGTTTCACATATTGGGATTATATCCAAGCCTTCGATAAAGTCCTCTGTTATAACAATGAGAGACATAAACATACTTGGTTCATAAAGGTATGTGCAAAGATATTTGCTAGTCCTATACCTAATTGGTTTTTGAATTGGTGGTCATACCACGGGCCAACAATAAAAATACTGCCCGAACCATTCCTTAAGTTATACAAAGAATGGGTAAAGATTTCCCCAGATCTTAACAGATTATATCAGCAAGAACATATTTCTTATTTACAACAGATTGAACAGATATGTTTCTTTATAGAATTCTCTGTTCCATGGATCCACAAATGGGTTCCAGAAGTGGATTTTACAGAAGAACAAATCCCCTGTTTATATCGCACTTATTATAATAACTTCTGGGATAAGTTAATGAAAAAGGATCCACAAACAAAGTCAATATATGGACAAGAACTGTTTGATCAAATTGCAGCAACTGTTAAAGAATATAAATCGATTCCTAATAAAGGAATTGTAACTGATGAGTCAACTTCGGTAAAGCATATGGCTCGAAGGATTTCTAATCATGATGAAGAGGAGCAAAATAAAATGATTTTAGATTACCTAGAAGAGGTGAAAAAGACTCTTCTTTCAAATTTAAATCATTATGCAAAATCAGATTCCTCAATGCGTAGTGAGGCTAGTGAAGATATGCACGAAGCCCTGAAGAAGAAGAACCAGCAGATACGCTGAAAAGGGCTGAAGATCTTTTCGCAAAGCTAAGAGACAAAGCAGACAAAGCTTAGTGGACAAAAACACTATCAACAGTAATACCAACAGTGGATGAACTGTTCTGTTCAGTGAGATAAGCACTACCAACAGTGAATGTACTGTTTAGGTCCCACATAAGGGACTCTTTTTACTATTCCTAGATGCCTTTTTCTATCTATAAATAAGGGCATTTTATTTTGTTTAGAAGCAGGTTTTAGAAACCAACTCTTCTCTCTACTTTCTATCTCCCTCTCTCTCTCCTTTGTAAAGTTTGAAGTATTGTGTGAGTTTGCCGGACTTTGGCCGGAGAACAAAAGTGTGTTGTTTGTTCCTAAGGTAATTTATCTTCTTACTTCTTTAGTACTTTCCTATTAAGCCGTGATTATGTCCGGCTAAAGACTTATATATATACGGGATAACTAACTTTAATTTTATATCTACCATGAAAGATCTAGACTTTATCTAAATATGAATAAATTCATCCATAATTTCTTGACTTGGTTCCGAGATGGTGGTATAGTCAGATTCAATACAACAAGTTAATGTCTTTGTCTTAGTTACTCCGTCTAGCCAGCCGTGGTCTTAGCTCGCAAAATGAGTTAAAAGGCAGTATTATACCCGGTTAGAACTGCTAAACCCATGGGCTCATTGACAATACGCATTTGAATCTGGGCAGACCCCTTGCTTGGGTAAAAGGATTGTATCCTTCCATACAATCATTAATTATCTAAGAATTTGTATGTATTTCGATTCGGATTTCTTCCTTAAATTCGGATGTTAACAAGCTAGATTGAAGATAACCGCGCGGACTACCACCCGTCTTCTGAGATCCTGATTTCGTTGGTATCAGAGCCTAGGAACTTTCATGGTAAATATGAGATTGATGTGAAATATTTCGGCATGTATATACTCTCTTAATAATGGATTTAGGAGATACTAGTACTAAAAGTACTCGATTGGAAGAGAGGTAGATATACCTCAAAACCTTGATTTGTTAAACAAATGGACTATTCCGAAAGTCGATATAAAAATCATTTATGATTATGGTTGGTTTGATAAGATCTCTAATAAACAGTTTATAAAAACTACTGAGCAATCTTTGGCGTTGAATTTCAGTTATAAATGCTATTTATCCTTTCACCATCATCACAGCTAAGGATTTTTCTGCTACTTATAAAGATAGAGATATTAATTATACTTTTATCACTGATCCTATTTCTCGTGATATTAATGCTTTGATTAATATGAAACAAAAGCATGTTGATTCTTTACAACTTGAAATATTTAGTATGAATATATTCGACACTTTAAAATCTACTAAAGTGCAGGAAAAAATTAAAATAATTTCCAAACAAATGGCCATTGATATTTGTGTTGATCATCCTAGTGCTTTCTGGAATCGAAAAAACCATATTGTGACTCTTCTATATGAAGATAAGTTCTCTGAGGATGATATTCCTACTAAATCACGCCATTGCCAGATGAACGCCGAATTGGTTGAATTCTGCAAGAAAGAAATTGATAATTTATTACAAAAGAGTTTGATAAAACCTTCTAAATCTCCTTGGTCTTGTACTACATTTTATGTCAATAATGCAGCTGAAAAAGAACGCAATGTTTCCAGATTAGTTATAAATTATAAACATGTGAACAAATATTTGAAATGTATTAGGTATCCTATCCCAAATAAAAAGGATTCATTGTCAAGATTATATGACGCCAATATAATCCATTACGGATGCAAAAGGAATATCCTTATTAGAAATTTCAGATGATTTATCATTTGTTTGAACAATATTTAATCGAGGATCAGTTTTAATTTTATTTTTATCCGCAGATATGACAGAAGATAATGTATGCAAAGAAGCTGCACGATTTCGAGTTGAACCATAACCAGGGTCAATCGGCGAGATGTGCTAGATGGCAAGTAATCTTCTATCAGAACAAAATGAATGTCTATTATAAGGAACACTTTTTTCATAAAACTGAATACAAATCCTACCATCAACATTTTGAGTAATATGAGAATATTCAGAATTAGTGACATCATCAGTCATATGTTCTGGAGGTACAACAGAGTCTAAAGTCCAAGTAGTAGGAAAATTAGTCTCTTCCCATTTTATAGGTCTTCTAGTAGTGACCTTGGATTTAGAAAAATTATTTTCAACTATTATTGTTTGATCAGATGTATCATATAACTTACATCTTGGGTTTAACGTAGCAAGCAGTTTAAAATAGATTCTATAAGATTAAAAAAATCAATTCAGATCCAGGCGCATAATTATAACCATGTGTTTTAACATTTAAAGTCAAAGCATCAAGAATATTAGAATCAGTCAAAGATATATGCAAGTTAGGTTGGGAAATCAGGTTATATATTGCCAATAACTGCCAATATAGAGATTCTTGGGAAGTTTAAATATCGAGCATCACAAAGAGCAACTAAAAATATTTCTGGTAACCCTTTAAGAGTTAACGGCTTAAAAGCGATCTGTACCATGCCAATATGTAAGAATTTATATTGAGATTTATATAAATCATATCGCGCTTATTTAATAAACGAATAGTTTGTTCAGATGAATTCAACCCCAAAGATTGCTCAGTAGTTTTTATCAACTGTTTATTAGAGATCTTATCAAACCAACCATAATCATAAATGATTTTTATATCGACTTTCGGAATAGTCCAATTGTTTAACAAATCAAGGTTTTGAGGTATATCTACCTCTTCCAATCGAGTATTTTTAGTACTAGTATCTCCTAAATCCATGATTAAGAGA